GAAAACTTTTTTTCCCTACACTGAGCTTCTATTTGTGAAGTGTTTTACTTTGCTATTTTGTAATTTTTATGACTTCATTTTTTTTTATATGACTTCCTTAGAAATCTGAAGTACTGAGTAAAAATACCAGAAGACACACCATTATGTGAGACATTAATAATACATGGAAGAGATCTGTAGCATAATTTTATGCTCGCGTTTTATTAGTAAATCAGACATCTTGTATGTGATTTTAATCTAACTTGTAATTCACTTGAGGAGCCTAAAATTCATCTTCCAGTTGTTTTTAATTAATGTTTTAATATAACGTGTGTCTCATAGTATATAATTTTAAGCTGATGATAAATCTTTTGCACTGTGCTGATTTTAAATATATATTTCTTGTGTTTATATTATAATTACAGATGTAGGTTGGGCTTTTATACTCTAATCTATGCCATAACTAATGACATTCAGTTGGAGGTAAGCACTGAACTTCCTTGCAGTCGTTCAGAATTTGTAGCTTTAATGAATTTTAAAAAGGGAACCATCAGACCTAATCATACTTCTAGCACTGAAAGAATTTTAAACACCACTGAAATGTAACACAAAACCTCAGCCTCCAGAAAATGTCATTTTTGCTCTTTAGAAGTTACTGAAGCAAGACAAATTTAATTTTACTGTACAGAATTTAGTTGTTAAAGCAATTAGGATTGCTATGCACACCAGCCACAGTCCCCAGGAAGCAAGTGAAAACGTAAACCCCTTTACAGCACTTCTGTTGCTGCCCCTGTCAGTATGTATTTTATACCAGCATCTACGTTGCACACCAAGGTGATCACAGTTATGTGTGTGTGTTCTTTCAGGGTCTGTGCTCTAGTTTGTGTATTCAGGGTGTTTAAAAAGATGATAGAAGCCTGTCATTGTTAGCATGAAGAATGATTGGTGGCTTGTAAAATACAGTATTTTTGAGAGCAGCAGGTATAGCTAGCTAGACAGTAGTTGTGGTTTTTTTCTTTAATTTTGCTGGTTTGAACTTCATCAGAAATATGGTTTGGTTGCCGTTCATAATTACTTGATAGTCAGAATCTTATACATGATACCTGATGGTGATCAGAGTGATTGAAGTGCTCTTTCTCAACATCTGTGCTAACGTTGTCAGTTTATAAAAACCCTCCTCTGTAGACCGAAAGTAAAAGTGATCTGTGAAGAAGAGACTTTCACATATGCTTTCCAGGACTGTGTTGGTAAGACTTGTGATATGAAGTTGGACAGACAGACTCATAAATCTGCTTTGTTTGGAAAGCTTTACAGGTCTTGTGATTCCCCAGTTAGATATCGACAGTTCAAAGGAAGATGGTCCAAACCACGACTTAACCCTATTAAACTCTGAGCAAGCAAACTCTGTGTAATAGAGACTTGTACATATCTAAAAAACATAGAAACTGTTACTACCAAGTTCTAAAGCAGAAAGGAATTCTCTTAATTATAAATGTTGTTATACAGATTGTACATATGAAGTAGTAAAAATTAGTATTATTGAATATGTCTGTAAATTTTCCTCCATAGTTCTAAGTATTAATTTAGCAAAATAAACTTTCCTTGGGCTGAAAAACTGTTTTATTGGATGATCCACAACTTGCAGAGAAGAGACTTGTTATAACAACCTTCCCTTATTGTTGCTATCACAGAATTTTTAAAATTGCAAAAGAAACTTTCAGACAGAAAAGCCAAGAGTTTCTGAAATTATTCTTCGTAAGACTTTTGATGCCATGCTTATTGGTTAGAATAAAATTTTCTGTTCCTGGTGCCTGTCTTAAGCTAAATCTTATTTTTAACCTCAGCTATACCACACCCTTTATTTGAGGACCAAGTTAACATTTTATCATTTTTATATTTTACATTTTACACTCTTAGGACCACTGTAGAGAGGGACTTCAGAGATGATCTGAATATTTTTCCCTTATGTGCTGATTTCATTTCTTGCAGTTGGGCAGTAGTATTTTTCCAAAACTCTTGGAGATGAGGCTTTGTGATCTCTGATGCAGACTTGAGACAGTAGAAAGAAGAGTGGGTTTAGGTTTGGAAGGGGTCTTTCCAGAAGTTCTTTGATTAAAGGAAGTTGTTCAGCATTCCAGACTTGCAGCATGCCTGTGCTTTTATGGATTACCAACTGGTTGTATTTAGGGCATCTGGTTTTTGTGTAGTTGGTTTGATGTTTCAGTAACATCAAATTTTAGTCTGCCTGATCTGGGATATTTTGTATCATGTTTTGTATTAACTGAGTGTGATTATTTTGCTGTACTGTTTATTGCTTGTTTCAGAGGTATCTGACTTTCTGGGATATCTAAATTACTTTGTATTTAAAATTCCGAAACTCACTTAAATTTTTATTGTGGTTTTCTGACTATTGCTGTAAAAGTGTGACTGCAGGAGAGCTCTGATTTTCTGTAACTTTTGTTTCTTTTTTACCTGGTTGGCTCAGATCTTAAATACCAAAAGGAAGCAGCTATTATCACATGCCACTTGTCTTGGTTACCCTGTTCCAAGAATTTATACACCCTTTGTATCTTGCATACAACTTATACTGGAAGTGTAAACAATGTTGCTAAGATTACCTATTAATATCTACTTCAGACTATATTTTTGTCTCTCTGGTCTTCAGTGCTTATTACTAAACTAAAGAGGTATTAAATCTTCTCATTCTACATACAAATATGTGAGGTTTAAGTGTGCCCTTTTTTAGCTGGTACTTTTAAATTTGGTGGAGGAGATGTAGCTAATCTCACTGTAAATATTTTTGATCAATTATTAAATATTTGCCATCAACTTAATTTTCTGATGATTCTTTCTGATTAAGATTCTTTAGTGAGTGTAACATCATTTAGATTACGCATGATTGAGTGTAAAGTTACATGTTACGTGCTGCACGTCCTCACATACTGGTTTTGAGATCTTTAATACTGATTAAATAAATATTATTCATTCTCTCAAATTGTTTCAGCACCTGTTGGTTGTACCATATAGACTGAGGAATGTGAGTTTTCTTTCAACTTGGCAGAGTTGAAAAGAGATGAGTGTAACTTTGAAAAGGCTCAGTCTCCAGACAAGCAGTGACCAATACAGTGCAGGTGAAAAAGAGTTTGAATTAATCTTCCACCCACAGTTAAATCAGAGTTCTTTGCAATTTTATTGTACCTAATGAGACTTCCTTCTTTGGGGATTGGTATTTCTGTACAGTGAAGTTGCCTTTTCAGAAAGGGAAAAGTGGCTTTCCGAGGATCATTTTGCTTAATTGTTATCTACCTTTCTCTGAAATTCAGAGACTGTTTCTTTTTAACGTGGTGCTTTATATTAACCCTGTTTGAATGCTAATTTTGTGACATTATTCTTTGAAAAGCTGTTCTTTTTAAGTTGGACACTATCTGAAAGCTTTATAGGCACTAAATAATTGTGAAGTACATGCAGTGCTGGCGCCAGTACCATGAGGGTTTTGATTGGCTTCTTTGTTGCATGTTTTTTTTCCTGAATGTGGGAATGTCGAACATATCAGTGCAGTACAGTTAAGTGTCTTTTAAGGGCCCAAAAGGGATTTTTACTACCATACAATGTTTTAATTTAATTTTCTTCTTCGAAGATTTTTGTAATAACTATTTTAGTATTGGCTAGACAGGAAACAAGTACAGGAAATTATTTCAGTGTTACTGTGTGTAGCTGTGTGCTACTCCTTATGAAAATGAGAAGCTGCACTTATTTAGAATTGCAAGCTGGCAGAAATTTGTGTAGGAGTTTCTATTGCTGCTCCTCCAAAACATTACTATAGATATTTAATTTTTAACTTAATTACAACATAAGCATCTCTCTCTTACTCCTCCAGACAAAAACATTTAGTTTAAGAAAGTTGGTGGTTGTTTTGGGGCTTTTATGTCTCAGTGCTTCCAGTGTATCCAGTGTATAATAAAACTTTGAGATATTTTCCAGTATTTCCTTTCAGTAACTTAAAAAAAAAAAAGGATTAAAAGTAACTTGGAAAATTAAGTATATTGCTAATACGGTACACAACTATGTAGTAATTTTATGACGTTTCAATTAGATTGAAGATAATGTATCACTGGCATGGTGATACAGAAAGGCAATGTGGTACAAAACACACTGTTATATGTATTATATTCAGGAGCTGAGTGGTTATATTTATCAAGACACTTAAATTCTTTGACCTGAACCATCAGAAATAGGAAACCAGATTAAGATGGATGGGTATAGTGGAACGTCACTACTTGACTGTGGAAACTAATTGTTATTCTCTGTCCAGTCTGTACATCCGTACACCCACACAAAGGATTTTTACTCTTGTATTTAATTCTTCCTGCTTTAATGCGTACCTGTAGGAAGTATTAAGAGTAACTACTAACCGGAACTGCCCAACCCTTATCCTAGGACTTTATTTGGAAATGTGTAAGTGCAGTTCCAGACCGCTTTATATAGTATCTTTTGGAACAACTCTGTGCCAGTCCTGTCTTTTCTGAACCTGGGAAGCAATGTTCACATATAAATGCCTCAAGTTATGAACAATAAATGCAGATATCTTTACTGATGTTTAACATCCTAAACTACTTAGGAATATGTCATTAATAGCAAGTTTTTCATATTTAGTGTTTCTAGGAGTGTAAGCATGGTTTGTGTTAGAATTTTTAAGAATGAAAGAATAAATTCAAACTGGGTGGGAACTCTCAGAAAACTGCTGCTTTGCACTTGTGTTAAGTACGGAATCACCACTGCTTTCACTGGGGAACGTAAGAGGCTTTAATATTAGTTTAAACAGTGTTCCTTTTCTAACATTGGCACATGAAGTTTACTCAAATGTATGAAAAAGATTTATAAGGATTCTGTAGTTCTTAGTAGGGGAAGAAGTGCTATGTAAATGGGGACGAAAAGTTCCATTGTCCTGACGCCTGGGGACCTTAGGTGTTTTCTTATTAATGCAGTTACTCATTAACTTCTTTTGACTTATCTTTCATCAGATTTTCCTCCTGGATGTTTCTCAAGCGTCTTGTGATGGAAGGGAAACATTTTTAAATTTATGATGGATTTCACACAACATTATAACGAAAACTGGCCAAACAGCAGCATTTGTATTTGAAGAGCATAAGCGTAATTACAAATAATCATGACAACTTCTCATATGAATGGACATATCACAGAAGATTCTGACAATGAGACAAAAAATGTGGATCTCGCATCTCCTGAGGAACCTCAGAAGCACAGAGAAATGGCTGTTGATTGCCCTGGGGATTTGGGCTCCAGGATGATGCCCGTGCGACGGAGCGCTCAACTTGAGCGAATCCGTCAGCAACAGGAAGACATAAGGCGCAGACGAGAAGAAGAGGGAAAGAAGCAAGAACTGGACCTTACTGCTTCCATGAGGCTAAAGAAACTAGCACAAATTCCTCCTAAAACTGGTATAGATAATCCAATATTTGACACAGAAGAAGGAATTGTTTTGGAGAGTCCTCATTACACTGTGAAGACACTAGGTAGGTAAAATGCAGTGAGTGGAATAAATATTTAATTGATATTAATGTTCTTTTAGGCCACTGAAAACCTAATTCAGCTAATTTTTCCTATTCAGATTTAAAGTCTGGTCCTTTGGAATTTTGGTGGCTTTTTTTTTTTTATTTAGTCAAACATCAGACTATGTGCCTCAGCAAAGTTTTTAAAACTGATGCTTTCAGGAAACAATGAAATACCCTGTAGATAACTAATGAATTCAGTTGATGTCTTTATCTTCTTAAGACCAGGGAAAACAATGCAAGTAATACCCACGTTTTTGATGTTGGATGAACCAAAGACCAGAATAAGCAATAAATAAACACAGATTGTCATTTAAAATAAAAATGCAAGCGGTTTTAATATTTTACAGAGAAACATGCAGGTGTTTTTTTCCTCACTCTCTCTTACATTGTCAATTGTCATCTAATATAAATATCACACCAATACTTCTCTTAAAGTTGATAATGAAAATCTGTTTACCTTGACCCTTAGACATTGATGAAATTGTAATGTCAATAATCTTTGAAGAAGTAGATGCTGAAACTTTCCATTTCATATCTGTCATTGTTTTAACTGTGCTTATGTAGAAAAAGTTTCTAGCCTTTCTTTCTCAAACATAAGTATCTATTAAAATAGAATGTGTTATGTCACTGGAGTGAAAAAGAGGCATTTGGAGTTTGTAGGAGTCCAGTTCAGATTTCCAAATCTATGTCTGTTAGCAGATCCAGACTGCTTTAAAAAGGCAGCCCTTTCTTTGGGCTGCACTAAACATTCTTGCAATTTTTTTTCCTATTGGCTGGTAGTTGAGACCAGAGAGTGAAAAATAGCTATGAAATTGCCAATTTATTCTTTTTTTACTTCATCTGTTTGTGTGCCCAAGCAACATTTCTGCTAAAGACACGTCTCAGCTCCATAACCTCTGGTAATCCTTATTGTACCAATCCCTCTTTAGGAAAACTTAGATTAAAAGGGTCATCAGGAAGTCATCCTGTTCAACCTCCTGTGGAAAGCAGGGTCAGTTACAAACAAGGCAGGTGTACCTTGTTTTAGTACACAGCTTGTCAGCTTCTCTCTGAGACATCTCTTTGTAAGAAGCAAATTCCCTCCTTAACTTTATGAAGTGTTAGGTATTTGATTGTGAAATTCACTTCCTAGAGGGAGCATGAAGCAGAAGATGCAAAGATGGACATCAAATAGTAGCAGTGACTTCTGTTGGGACTTGCTTAGCCACCACAGTGACCAAAAGCTCTGAAGACTTACTACTGGAGGAATTGGAAATTGGAACTACAGAAGGAAGGAAAGAGTAATTTGGAATTAGAAAGCTGGGACTAGGTTTCATGCCTGAGATGCTGAGAACTTGGAGGGAGGGCTGGGTGCAAAACAACTAGCTATGGAAGCTGGTAGTGATGAGAAAGGAGTAATGCATATGGATGTGATATGCTTGAGAACCAGTAAGGAATTGGAGTAGACTGAAGCTGTTTGAACAGGAGAGATAATGATGGAGAAACTGTGATGATGAAAGGTGGGTTTTAAGATCTTTCAGTGAAGTGTTAAAAAGGGTACAGGCTGCAGGAGAAGCTGTGGGATTGTCAGAGAAAATATTTGTGAAAAGCTGGAAGGAGGAAACTAGTTTTGGCTCAGCAAGTATAGAAGGGGAGAGATTGGTGTGAATTGAAGTAGGAGTCTGTGAATACTTGACATAAGAAGAGAAACACCAAACACTGGAGACAGGAAGAATACAGAGGTGTGTATGTGGAAAGAGGTAAATTAGGAAATCGCAATATATGAGATAGGATGCATCTTGAAGGAAAATGACTAGGTGATTTTTGTCCACAAGAACAAATTCCCCTTTTGTAATTAAAGTTTGGATGTGATCATTGTTTGGATCAGATAGACTTAAGATTGAAGCAGAGAGGATTTATATTTAGCGCTCTGTGAGACACCAGTGTGCCTTTGTGGCCAAGAAGGCCAATGGTATCCTGGAGTGCATCAGGAAAAGCATGGCCAGCAGGTCAAGGGAGGTATCCAGTTCTTCTACTCAGGCCTGCTGAGGCCTCACCTGGAGTACTGTGTCCAGTTCTGGGCTCCTCAGTACAAGAGAGACGTGGAGGTCCTGGAGTGGGTCCAGTGGAGGGCAACAAAGATGATTAAGGGACTGGAGCACCTCTCCTGTGGAAAGGCTGAGGGACCTGAACTTGTTCAGCCATTAGAAGAGATTACTGAGAGGGGACCTCATCAAGGTCGATAAGTATCTGAAGGGAGGGTGTCAAGAGGATGGATCCAGGCTCTTCTCAGTGGTGCCAAGCAATAGGATAAGAAGTAACAGGCAGAAACTGATGCACAGAAAGTTCCATCTGAACATGAGGAGGAATTTCTTTCCTCTGCAGGTGACTGAGCACTGGAACAGATTGCCCAGAGAGGTTGTGGAGTCTCCCTCACTGGAGATATTCAGGAACTGTCTGGACACAATCCTGTGCCATGTGATCTAGGGTGACCTTGCTTGCGCAAGGAGGTTGAACCAAATGACCTATTCTGTTATTAAGAGTGGTGCTTTTGATTATACTCAACTGTGATGTTGAGTTGTTGCAAACATAGGAGAAAATAGTTCTAAGTGAAATGCTGTGGGTTTCTAACCTCTGCAGTCCCTAAAGAATCAAAACTAGGTTAAATTTTAAATTTAGCAAAGTGCTTCTGCAGTAGCTTGAACTCTTCCAAAGTTTTCCTCTACTATTAAGCATGTCCAGTTTCTGGAGTAATCTTTCTAACATCTGACACTAATGCTGAATTTCAAAGGAAGAATACTTTTTTTCCTGAAAGATGTCTGTTTCTGATTAGTATCAGGGCTAGGAATATTGTCTTCTGAATATGTATTTATATACAAATACAATTACAGAATAATACAGATGGAGAGAGGGAATTTGAATCCATTATTACTTTTGCTTTTTTATTCAAAACCTGAATTAGAAAGGCCAGATTTTTTTTAAATTTACATATACAACTTTCTGGTCTCCAGGGAACTTACTAGCCTATGACTTTATTAAAAAAAATCACTGCTAGCATGTGAAATTTTTTGTAGTTGTCTCTTTGGTTTTACTGAATTTCTGATCTACACTGCTCCTGCTCTTTCCCCCTTTCCACTTTTGCTGTCCAGGGTAATGTGCTTAGTCACTTTCACAAATCTCTGAGCTTGATTAGAAAACCCCAAATAAGCCTGGACAGCTTCTAGTGAGTTATAGAGGTGCTAAACTACCCTTGTTCAATATTTTTTAAAATACTGACTGTAATTTTGCTTGTGTCCGTGCTAATCCATAGAGCTTCTTCTGAAGATACATCTCTTAAGTAAGATTATTGACCAGTGTGTCTGTATTTTAAAAATAATTTTCTAAGTGCCAGTGTCTAATTTGGCAGATCTTTGCCAAGTCTTTCATGTTTTTATCATAGAAAAAAAAAAAGCAGACTAGATTAAACAAGTCAGATTTTATTTACAAGAACAAAGGAGGACACTTAATCAGAAGAATTTTAAAGGGCATGTTTATTATCAAAACAGTATGTGATTTAGACAGCTGTCTCAATGGAAATAACATTCTCTGCACCTAGAACATGAGCATTTAACTGGCTTTTTCACAGCAGTATGCTTCTATGAAATGTAGACTGGTTTTGTTTGCTACAGTTCATTCAGTTAACTTAGTTAAATGAGTAACTGACATTTCATGGAAGTAAATCCTTTCTGACTACTGTGATTTTTTTTTAAGGGAAAAGCTTTTTTGCTTTTATACCTTGGCCAAAACTTATTTATAAATATGTTACAAGTAGATTTTCAGAAATATTCTTTTACCGAAACTACTTTTCTTAGCCCCATGATTCAAGTTATATTTGGAGAATTAAAGTGATGGCACCAGCACACAGAGTACTCTAGAGATCTATAAAAAAGCTTGGGAATGAAAATATTAGTGCTGACATATAATAAAACCTATGTTCTTAAGCTTGCTGTTCTTAACTTCTTGTTTTGGGTGATAAACAACATTTATTTTCTTTTCTTAATTTTTTAATTTAAGATGTTAAGCTGTGACCGCAGGTCCTCCCCTGCAGTTGCATACTTCTGCCCTGGCAGTCTTTTGATTAATGCGTGTAGTGCAGAGTGCTCACTCACATTCCAGCCATTTCATAGTCTAATGGAAAAAGGCTGCAACCCTTCTTGTAAAAGAAGACTTGACAAAAATCAGTATTTGATTGCTCACTGATCTGCAATTAAAAAATGGACTTGTTCTGCAAAAGAACCCTGACTTTTCTGTGAGTAAATGCAGATGTTAGTCTTTTACTGAACTTTTTTTCCTCAAGACAGTCTTTCAACAGGAAATAGCTAGAGATGGAGGCTTTCATTACCTGGCTTTTTTTTTTTAATTATTGCTATTTTAAAAAGACCAAAACCAACAAGGAAAACCAAACCCTGCACCAAAATCTAATCTGTGATCTAGAATTTAGAAGCAGGAACCTAGAGAGAATTAGGCGTGCATAAAGCCAGATTTGTATGTGGGTTTATGTGTATGGGTTTTTTATTAAACAAGTGACTAGAAAATTGATTGCTATCTTTTGAGGAATATTTCATTGTGCTCCTTTCAAGCATTATCTCTCTTTTATCATTGTGATGAGAGGTATATTTGTTTGCTTTTTCGTGTCGATGGGAAATCACTTGGTATAAGGCTTTGGCATCCAGCAGGTGAAGCCTCACTGTAGAAAGGAATTATATGGGGAAGAGAGTGCTGTGGTATTTGTAAGAAAGGGCAGCACAGAAGGAACTGGCAAAGTGCTGAAAAGAGAATATATAAAGATATCTAGGAACAGAATGTCTTTCTTATAGATACAGAGTAATATGTCTGTCTGTATGAATTTATATCTTGTAGGTATTAGAAAGAATGGTGTATATGTGCATTTGTATATGTGTATTTGAATTTTCAGATATATAAGGAAGGAGAGACAATTCAGAAATAATGGAATAAAATAATAATTGCAGGAGGAGTTAGAAAAGGTCAGTTTCTTCTCTAACACCTCACTCACTGCTTGTTGAATCCAGCAAAAGTAAGAAATAACAGAACTTTGAGTTGAGATGTTTCTTAATTGAACAGGTATCAGTGGGAGCTATAAGATAACATCTGTTTTACACACTTTTATTTTTCTTAATGCTTGAAAATAGTGCACTTCCTCAGACTTGAGAGAATGAGTTGCAGAGATACTTTAGTTCTCTGCGTACTCCACTAGGTAAGAATTTTGCCAGCTGACATCATCCTGTTTAGCAAATATTCTTACTTGTAGAGTGTTCTTTATCTTTCTCTCCAAAGGGTATTTCTCCCCATGTGGTAGGCAGTATATTGTGTACACAATTTCCTAGTGAGACGTTGGCAACCTTAATTAGTGTTGTGAGTTGTTCTGAATTTCACCAGTGGAATATCCTGCACAGCCGGTATCCAAACTTTCTGTGCAACTGCTGCCCTTTATTCCCTTGGTGGTTACAGGAAGAAGCCCTTGACCTTTGGTGGTTAGGATGTTTTTAGCGTGTGTGAAATGGCTTTGGAGGGGTTTTATTACTTTTTTATTGTTGTCCTGCAGACAGTAAAGAGTAGTAGCTCTGGCTTGTTTGTTTCCCTTTATAATAGAGAAGACTAACTTGCAAACTCAGAATTGGCAGCAGATATGTAAGCATGGGTTGTTGGAAATTAAAACCATTAAACTTGTTTAAAGTGCATATTTTATTAGGCTGTATGGTTTTCACGTGCCTGTTTATCAACCATTTTTTATCTTGCTCTCAACAGTTTTGAGTCAAGGCTTGTATTCAGTGGACTGATGAATTTGAGGTTAAAAATATGTAATGGAAACTTCTTAATAGAAGTATTCGTGTGAGTTAACAGAATCTGTGATTTTTTCATGTAAAAACCAACTTAGCTGATATCTTGATAGCGTTCCTAATTTTGTTAGCTCATAATGAATAAATGAAGGTTGCTAAAACTTAAATCATTCTCAAAGCTGATATTTTGATATCAGTAAGGGAGATTAAAACTCTTAGTTGATACTGAGGTCAAAATTTGGGATTTTCTTTGTTTTTCTCTTTTTGAAAGCACCGGGATTCAAAAGTTAAATGTACTTGCATTTATTAAAATACAAGATAGCTGACCGACCTCTGGTGGCTGAACAGGTTTTTTCAGATAATGTGTGAAAACATGTATATTGTTTGAGACTCAAAACATCCATTTTTTTGGTCTGTTTGAGGATTTTTCACCTGGGTTTGATTCATACTCCTTGTGTTAGGTAGTTTCTGAAGTACTTAATATTGAGAAGTGACATACTTTGCAAAAATTTGGATTGGTTTAAAAAAAATATAAAAGTCTTTGGGAAGCACCTGTAAAGCATCAGATCAGTTCTTGAAATTCAAGAATGTAGTACATGTATTTACAAACATATAGAAACTGGTTATTAAAATTTAACATATTAAAATGTTATAATATTTCATTGCCCCAGCACAACCCATACTCTTGCAGGTAAAAGATGTGGTCTTTCTTCTGGTGTAGATAACTTTCAAAACTCATAGATGTTCATACGTGATATTTTTTCATTGTTTTTATTTTAATGTGCTAAGACTGAGCATAATTTTATGTTTATAAATTGAGCATATTTAACTTATCAAACACACATTTTATAAGTAGGCAATGTTTGACTGAGATACATTCATATCTGCCATATATGGCAGATGCAAATGGAAAGGTGGATCAAGTATCGGTGAATATTCAGTGCATCAAGATTAGCTTAGCAAAGTGGTTATTTTCATATTGCAATGCAGTCCCTCTTTCACATTTAGCTGCATATGAACTGCAGTTATGGGATCTTTTACATATAAGCAATTTCTTTTGCAGAAGAACTGCTCCTGCAATAGGAATTTAAATCTGAGCAGTGTATCAGCTTTTCTCTCTGTTATCTTACTGACTTGGGGTTTTTTTGTTTGTTTGTTTGGGGGGGTTTCTACCTTTTTCTACTTTTTTTTTTAATTCAGTTATATTCTGCTACCAAATATTAGAGTGAATATGGATAACTAATAAACTTGCATACATCACTACTGATTTAAAAACTGAACAGGAGGATAAATCTTAATGTAAACATTCCTTAATTATTTATCTTGTTAACTCATATCCTATTTGTATTTTGTTATTTCTTACCTAGAAGTGGAAGAACTGTTAACTTCTCTTAAACATATCCAGCACGTTTTGGTAGACCCTCAGAGCCAAGAGGACATCTCACTCATTTTACAGCTTGTCCAAAATAGCGATTTTCAGAATGCATTTAAGATACACAATGCTGTTACTGTGCACATGAACAAAGCCAGCCCTCCATACCCTCTCATCTCCAATGCACACGAACTGGCACAAGAGGTATGTACAGAATGCATCCCTGTGATATATGTGAAACCTGTAATCATGGCTGCTGTTGAAATATGTACTCGTCAAGCTTGTCTGAGTTACTGAATGTTGAATATGAAAGGAATTATAATAGTCACTGATTGCTATATCCGGTTCTTCCAGATTTCCAAGCAGTAACCAGAAAAATATTTTGGGGATGGGGACTCCATTTTTAGCATGGATAGATACGTAACAGAGAAGGTACTATGTTTAGACATAGGAAAAAGGAGCAGTTGTGAAAATCTAACTCTTACCATCAATATTCTTTTCAAGCATTCAGGGATTGAGTTACAATTTTCTCTTACTGTGGCTTTGCTCTGAATTAAACCATGGTTCTTAGAGTGGGAAGCATCTCTGAAAATGCAACCACACTGGAAACAAGCATTCTGCTTTAAAGTGAGCAACAGATCTCTTAATACTTAATTTCAATGTTTTAATTACTGCTGTGATGGTCAGATTACACTTAAATTTTTGTCTGACAGCTGACAACTCTTTTATAAGATTTGATGTTTTTTAGAAATTGTTAAAATATTCTGAGGGTTGCTCAGTAACTTTTGTCACACTTTTCCTGGTTCATGTATATATTGACGTGAAGTGTGGCTACATCTTAGATGAATATATGTTTGTTAACTTTGAACTAGGTAGCTTAAATACCAGTATCAGTGCAAGTCTAGCACTGCAGTTCAGCAAAACCAGATCTAGAGGCTGGATACAGGCTCCAACATTTGGCACCCAGTGAGCCAAACTGACTCAGGTATATTGGTTGGGGTATTTCAGTTTGGCAACAGGTTGTGGGTGTTGGTGGGTGGTTTTGGTTTTGTTTGTTTTAGTATCTGGTTTTCTTTCTGCCTGAGGCAATTTTTTTCAACAGATTTTTCCACTCTCCTTCCTTTTTCTGGACTTTAACCTTGTAAGTCAACAGTATTGTAGCAAGCTTGAAGTTCTTTCACAGAAAAAAATTACTGATTCTTGAGGGGCATCATTTAAATGGTGTCTAAAGATACATGTGCTGATTAAATTGCAGTTTAGGAATTTAACTTTGTCAGTAAGACTGTACCAAAACCAGGCTGGGAGTATTTTATGTATGAGCTTTCCTCATCTTGTTCATCAGCCTGTAGGCTGCTTCAGAATCCTCACTGGGCTTCTTCAGAGTCTTTAAGTCTGAAGGAACCTTTTCAGTTAACTTCTGTTTGTAAACTACTTCCCCAAGTATCCACTATACTTAGGCCTAGTTTGGGATTGCATTCAATACAAGCCAGGATTTTTTGAATTTCTTTTGTAATTACAGATTTAACTCTTAAAGGTTAACTTTTAGGAAAGATTTAACTCTTAAGAAAGTTGGTTTTTCCCATTTGTTAATATGATCTCCTTTCATTTGCTACTTAATAGAAGTTTCCAAGAAGAAAATACACCTAGGAAAACTCTAGATTTGTTTTCAAAATTTCACATTCCTGCCCAATTTTCACTGCCCCTTACCTTCCCAACATATTCTTCTCTTTTTTTCAGGTGATTTGGTAAATCCTAAAATCAGAAGGTGGTGCAAAGCCAGTTTTGTGTCTCTTACCAGTCCATGAAGAAGGTTAAGCAAAAAGAAAATATTTCATTAATCCAAAGTTTTTAAACCAACACAATTTGATCATCACCTGCAAGACTATTACATAAAAGGCAAACATATCACTGCACTCATTTTGATTCTTCATCTCCCATCCCTGTCTTGTCCAGCCTTGAAATTCCTGAAAAGTCAATATTTTGCATATGTCTGTGCCCATTTTTAGATGTTATCTAGTTTCCTAGTGATTCAGCTTCTCATGTATTTAAGTGACTTGTATTTTGCAATATGTTAAATAACATCCTAAAATGATAGAGCTAGAAATTCAGGTCAAATATTTCTGTGTCTGACAGAAGTGTCTCGAGAGGAGGAACACCTTGAGGCCTTCATTCACATCATTCTGTATTTCCTTGTCTTGTCTGAATAGAAGATCTTATGTTTGCCTTTCAGATCTTTTATTCATTTTTGGAAAGGCTTCTGTATTTGTTATGGTAGCAGTATGGGAGGAAATTATTTCTGCTTTAGAAAAAGTTGGTGGTGTTTTTGTTTTGTTTTGTTGGGGTTTGTTGTTGGTGTGGGGTTTTTTAACCCTGACAGTGTGTCTATCTTGCATGCAAAAGTTTTTTCTTGTACTCTGATTTTTAGTTGTCTTTTGCTTTTTCCATCCCTAAGCATAGGCATGGGAAGCTCCCCCAGAAAGCAGTTCCTTTACTTACTTCAGAGTGTTTTTGAAAAGACATTTGCAGAAGCCTGGATTTAAGATACTGATAACATCTTCACGATAAAGCCATAAGACATTACAAGGAAGAAAAATAGCAGATCCATGCGTGACATTAATTTTAAGTGGCAGGTAGTGCTAGTGTGCATATTTTAGTGCACAGGTCATCAGTGACAGTGTATAACTCTGAAACTGTTTTGGAGTGTGTGCCCTAATTTAAAGCTACAGACATATTTTGTTTGAGGCTATATGCTGTGGAAGAGAAGAGCTCTAATAGGCAAAGACAGTTTGCAACACAGTTTCGAAAGGCAACATCCTCGCTTTAAAAAAAAAAAAGTAATATTATTTATAGAAGTGTACTTTTTTTAAAATTTTCTATTTCTCTTTAGAAAATACTTAAAATTAGTAGTATACCTGTACAGTTAACTATTCCTACCATTTCTGATAACCAGACAGAAACAGCTTAAGTTTTTTTTTTTTTTTTAAGAAACTTTAATTGAATTAAAAAGGTGGAATGAAGCACTTGAGCTTAAGGAATTTGAGAAAGCTTTTCTTCATGTAATGTGGTGAACTCAAAGTCTTAAATAAAAATAACCAGTAAACATCAAGTGTAATTAAATTGACTTTAAATCCATTTAAACTTGACCAAGATGGGGGCAAGGATTATGGGAACATGGTCTGAATCTTGACCTTGTAAGAGTATTTGATGCAGCATTCAACACAGTTTATAACTTTTGTCCTGTAACAGCACATACCAAATACCTTAAAGATGTTCTTGCTATTAAATGTACTTAATAGGTTCAAATTATATAGGCTATGTTTCTAAATGTTTTCGATTTGTTACTGTTGCTTCTGCAAATTCAGGCAAACTAACCAGATCACTACTTTTGAGGGGATGCAGTGGAAGCTTGAAACTTCTAGTGTTAAGTGCACTAGAACGTGTATGTATATTCCATCTGACAGTCCTTCTCACCTGAGAGTAAACAACAACAGGATTTTGCAGGTGCAGTTAAATTCTGAATGTTTAATATCACTCCAGCACATGCCTCCACCATACATGCCTCCCAACTGTGGTGTGTGTATAATGAAACCACATTAATAGCTTTTGGAGGGCTGCTTGAACTAAAGTTAACTTAATTAACAATAAAAACTAGTCCGAAGAGTTAAGAAAATACAATTATGGCCACATAGCGTGGATTGCCTACGCTTTATGTAGTGTTTCACTTCTGGAATGACAGGCTACTTCAAATTTCTTAGTCTGATAAAGCTGTGGGATTCATTACCATGAGTTACAAAGGACTCTGACATGCAGCAGTACTGGTGTAATAGGTGGTGTATTTGGCAGCCTGAAGCTTTCCTAGTGCTTCATTAAATAAACAAATAAGAGATGTATCTTTCTCTCAAAGCAGGGAGGAACTATTAAAGTTTTGAATAATCAAATTATTCAAAGCCGAAATTCAACTTGAATAAAGGATGTTCACCACACACAGAATAACTGGTTGGACCAGGTTTCTTTCTTTTCCACTGCCAAATCCCCAGCCTCTGACTGTGCATTCAGAAGGTTGTCTTGCTTACAGGACTTCCAAGTTGCTTTTTGAGTAGATTTTCCTGTAAAAAGGTCATAAAGATTGGATAAATAAGGCTTTAAAGCTTCTTGTGTCTTCTTCAATAAAGGAATTCGAAGTCTCCTTGAAAGTTAGAGACCTTAAATAAGCCTCTATGAGAAAGTCTTTTGTATAGAAGAATCTTTTCTCTTTACACAGGATAACTTGTTAGCGAAATATGTCCTTTACAGTGCTCTGTCTGACATATGACACTCTAAAATTCACTCTAAGCCAGGCGTAGTAGCTTCCTGGCTAATTCAGAGGTATGACTGAAGTCAGACCTCTGTGAAACTGACTTCTTCATGTTCTCTCTGATTTTAAATAAATCACTTAAGTTATTTAAATCTGTCTTCTTAAATCTGTTTGGCTATTCTAAGGTATACTACGTTCACCATGAGATATGCTCTAGGGATGTCAGAAGGAAGGCATTTGGAGCTTATGCCAGGTTTATTGCTAAGCACGGGAACTTGTTCCATATGGCAGTGTTTGGTTGGCAGTGTGAGGATCCTGCTCCATGGAAACAATTCATTTAGAGGCTTCTGCTAGAATTTAAAATTATCTTGACTTTTTTCAGTTCTGCCATCTAGTTGCATCCAAGAGAGTTGTTCACATTTCTGTAGACAATTGCTCCTAGGGTAGAGGCTTTCCCTTGAATGTTAGATCATACAAAATGCTTCATTATTTTCCCTTTGAAACTTTTAGTTTCTTGGTTCTCTGATGCCATCTGTAGGAGTAAAAAGCTTTTGAAAAAGAGTGTTTTCTATCTCTCTGAAAGCTGCTGCTCTGATATGTGTAATCTGCTCTTGATGTGTCTGTATTCATTTGTGCTGTTGGACTTCTGTGCCTTTGGTCAGATTAAGCCAGAGGATAATGGCTATGGAAAGTATCTTCTTCAGCCTCACTTTTACGTAAGGAGGACTTCCCTGCTTCTGGCTTTGTCTATGACCATACCAGTATTTGCAAGAGATGATGGCAAGGCTTGTTTTGTAACTGTATGAGAAGGAAAACTTATTTTGGCAACTGAAGCTGCTTGAGAAAAACCTGGCCTTCTGTTAAGGTTTTTGGGACCAGCCAAGGAAACCAGGTTTTCAGGGAGGGACTTCTTGAAGTTTTGATTTGTACACTTCCTGAGACATGAGCTCTGGATGCATTGCAAAACCTGTCTCAGAATCTTTGTCCTAGATGTTGGTGGAAATAGTTTGCGTAACAAGGATATTATAGTCTGCTTTTAAGGAAGAGAAAGGCTTGTCACGTTAAGAAATGTCTCCAGTTTAAAAGCCCAGCATATTCACATAACACATTGTGATTGATTTCACTAACGTTCACTAACTTTCTAGAGTTTAATTGTTTTTCTGTGCATTTTTGTGATACCTGAGCTCATTGCCAGTCTCTGGTATTGAGAAATCTGTGTGATATACTGGGTACCAGCTTAGATTTGGTAGATAATTACTGAGGCAAGATGTGCTGGATTAGTCCTGTGGTGTCATTGCATGTTTTCCTGATGTGTACCAGATTAAGTTCAATCCACAGCCAGTGTAACTACATGGATATACTTTATTTTCAGTAAAATGAGTAATGGCAAGTAGAGGGTTGTGCTTGAGTAGAAAAGGGAGGGTTGATAAATTACTGGGTAGATTAAGAGTTTTACTACTTGATTTCTTTTTAGGTACAGTGTGTTTTGAAACCCAGCCACCATAAGGATGGACAGGAGCTTAATGCTTTGCTGAATGCCCCTCACATGCAGGTAAAACAAAATGAAACTTCTAATCTAATGGATGTGTTTCTTGGTGCTGTTTTCATTTGCAAAATATAAGTTATATTGTCTTGGGCTGACTAAGCAAGGATGGATTTTATGTCTCAACCCTCATTTTTTTAGGACGAGGAGTTTCCAAGTTCCAGAAACCAATGAAAATTTCTAATCAAGTGTAGTTTATTATGATATTTAGCCCTTGCTACAGTCTACAAGTTTGAAGGGTAATTTGCACATAAACAATGTAGCAATTGATCAGTAGCAACAGGGCAACAGATGAGCTGCTTTGCTTATCTATGTTTTTACCTTTGACAGCTGTTTCATGCCTACCATAGGATGCATAAAGGGAATTTTGTCCTGGGGTGGTAATGTCTGAATCTGCAGTCACATACATAGTAAATTAGTGTCTGGGGTTTTTTTAGTACAGAGAAGCTAGAAGTACAGTCACAGTTGTGTGCAAAATTGCTTTTTATTATTTTCTAATTTGAAAGGAAAATTTTGAAAAGCAGTAGGTGCTACATAGCTGTGATACATTTTTTTCTTAATTACTTGAGTCAGTTTGCAGGATTCCTTAAGCTGCAGAGACTATTGAAATTGCTGAATTTCATTGAACTTTACTATTTTGTATACAATTGTGACATTTTCTGTAATTGAGTTGATTTTGTTTAACACCAGGCACTTCTACTGGCTCATGATAAAGTTGCAGAACAAGAAATGCAACCAGAGCCTATGACAGATGAAAAAATTTATGAGAATGTTGGCGTGTACGGAGGGGAGACGGTTAAAATAGTTCGCATTGAGAAAGCTCGGGATATTCCATTGGTAAGTACTGGTACTCACCAAGTTATATGTAAAGGAAGTAAGCTTTTTTGTCCTTTTCAGTTTGCTATGAAACTTTTGGAATTTGAATGTGAAGGTTATGTTTAACTTGTAAACACTCTTCCTCCTTCCCTCCAAAATGAGAAACAGTCACAGACGGTAAACCTGTGTTTAACTTCATTTAGCAGTAGCCATATGAACATGTAAAATCTGTTCAACTTCTGTCAGCTTGGATTTGGAGAGATCTCCTTGACGTGAGTCACTATTCCAAGCTTGGCTTAAGGGGAGCATAGAGCCTTGTGCCAACTGGGTGTGAATCTTTATGGTTGGTTGGTTTCTGGTTTTGGTTTGGTGTTTTTTTTAGTGATATCATCTTCTATTTGCATCTTTCAAATGAATGTTTCCTTAGGACTACATTTCTAAAAAAAATAATCTTACGGTGTGGAGCAATTAAATTCTTCAGTCTTTAGTGTAGCTTGAAGGAGTTAAGCAGTGTGTTTTTGAATTGGAGCATTGGATGTATGCATCTGAGCTGTTTACTTGCATTCTCTTTCCACATAGTTCCTTCACTCTCTTGGAATATATACAATAGATGGCTTTGAGTTTCATATATATAATAAATTCAGAATGTGTTGCTACTACACAGGGTGCTACTGTTCGCAATGAAATGGATTCTGTTATCATTAGTCGAATAGTGAAAGGCGGTGCTGCAGAGAAGAGTGGGCTGTTACATGAAGGGGATGAAGTTCTGGAGATCAATGGCATTGAGATTCGTGGAAAAGATGTCAATGAAGTTTTTGACTTGTTGGTAAGTTGAAATGCTTCTTGTTTTCTCTGCAACAAATACTCATTTCATAAGTCTAATGCCTGTTCACTCTGCTTGTCATTTTACTCATATTTAGCTTAAAAAATACTGTCATTCTAGTAGTTGGTGTTTATATGTAAAGGGCCATTTCAAGTTTTCTTTCTGATGCATAAGATGATACTGATAAGTATAATGGCAATTATCTGCAAAAATGAAGCCCACAAATGTGGAAGAACCAAGCTATTATCTTTAGGCTTACTTCTAATGATTTCTAAGAAAACCTTTGTTGAGCTCTGAGAAGCTGCGACTTTTCATCTTTGTCTCTGGTTGAGTCCACAATTGATAAATGTGTGGCTGTGTGATTGTGGTACTGTGTGGTTGGGATGGAGGTAATTTTTGTCATAGCAGCTTATATATTACTGTGTTTTAGGCTGGTTTTAGGCTGAAACAGTGTTGATAAGCACCAGTGTTTTAGTGTTTAGCTGGACAATGCTTGCACAGTGTCAAGGCCTTCTCTGTTTCTCACTCTATGCCCTGCCTGCAAGTAGGCTGGGGTGAGCACGAAGTTGGGAGGGGACACATTGGAACAGCTGACCCAAATTGACCACAGTGATATATCTTGCCACATTACATCATGCTGAGCAGTAAAAACTGGGTGGTGAGTGACTGCTTTTGCATCACTAGTTGAGTTGGGGTTTTTCCCCTTCACTTATTAAACTGTCTTTACCTTGATCCATGAGGTTTTTTCTTGCATTTGGTCTTCTGACTCTCTGCCCATCCTGCTGAGAAGTGGGAATGCATTAGGAGCTGATAAGGCCTTAAGTTGCAAGCCCAGATTTAACCCACCACAAATTGTGTCACATGGGACCTTTACATGACTAGATTTCTTACTCTTTCCCTCCTGATAAAAGCCCTTTTGTCTAGCAGTTTGCTAACATAAACGTTCTTCTGTTTACCACACCATTCATGACAAGATTATACTTCACTTCAAAAGCAGCTGGGCAAAACCGCAGGCAAGAAATCTGTCAGGAATTAGTGAATGCAGAGGTACTTGCTTTCAAAATGGCCCTGCGAGATAGAATGTCAAAAGCTGGCAATTACCAGTATTTTCTGTTGCCCAGTTGCACTTGTTTTATTCTTTTCTCTGGCACCTACTATGGATCAGGGTTCAAGATGGGACAGCTGGAACTTGACTATGAATCTGTTGTCCAGTTGGCAGCAGGCAAGACCATTCTGTCCAAGTGAAAACAGATGCAAATGACAATTCTTTTTGAAGTTAATTTATAACTTTGACACAAAACATTTGAAATATGAACAAGCACTTATTTAATAGGGTTCTTTGGCGGAAAAAAGAGAGGAAAAATATATTTAGTAAATCTTCAAATTACTTAGTAGATTTATGTTCTATAGACATATCAGAATTAGGAAAAGACCTGGGTTCTGCTCTAAGTGGTGTCACTGTAGGAAGAATAGACAGCAATATCTATAGATGAAGTTGTCTTATGGTACACTAAGACTCTAGTTTTTAATGGACAATTTTCATCTTCAGTTGGACTTTTTTCTGAAATTTCCTGATACAATTTTTGAGCTAATTCATGTAGTGAGATCAAGTGGAAGGAAGTAGAGGAAGAAATATGTGGGGTTTGGGGGTTTTTGTTATATTGTTCTTAATTTTTAAGCTGTTGAGAAAGATTTTTACAGTTCTTTGAAAAGCCTTCAATGTCCATGTGTTTTTTGGATCAGAGATATCTGAGATCCTTTATATTCTGTAATTGTCTCAGTTTCCATCTGTTGTGGTTTTTTCAAGCCGTATTTAGCTAAGTCCTATAATTCTGAAAATAGTGTTTTGTAGGTGATTAACAGGTAATTCAACTCTGGCAGTTTAGTTCTCTGCAGAGAGCTTATTCTGCTCCTGAGCAGTTCCTGCAACCTAGGGTTAAAGAATAAAAGATTTCAAGCCACAGTACATTAGCATAAGAAAAAATTACTTGCTGAAAATAAAAAAAAATAAAATAAAAAACCCCAAACATCAAACACACAACAAAACCTTATGTTTATATTTCTTTAAATATATTTTAATACAATTAATTAAAAATAATACTTTTAATTCTTTGTATGTTGTCACTTGTATTTTTTAATGTGGAAATAAAGTTTTAAAATACTTCAGACCCCCAGAATACTAAAGCCCTGGAGAAAGAAATTACTTACCTCCTTAGTTTTGCCTCATTACTTGCTAGTCAAATGATAATAAAATACATGTGACTTTAGACTATTCACATGATCACTGTGAGATTATATACATTCCTCGTGGAACTATGCATGCCGACTGAAAATAGTGGATTTTCCTTTCCTGCAACTTCATCATGTTATGTTCAGTTATGTTTACTTTTTTTAAGGCTTAGATCTGAATTTTTTGAGATGCATGCATTTGCAACGGTGACTACAATGTTGATGTCAAGTACTTTACATATGCAGGATTTGAGTATATTAGTTAAATTTTTAAACAGTGTTTTGCATTCTTTAATAATGCTAACAGCATAAAATCAGTAGTAGAAATGTTTAGATTTGAATATACTGTTCCATTTAAACAATTCTAGAAAAATAGTATTTTTTAATATATTTTTTCTTACCGGTGTCAATCCACTTGTTGGTATTTTTGAACAGAACAAGAGAATATTGTTATTCATTTCTCCTAAGTCTTTGCTTGACAGAATTGCAGCTTCACCATTTCAAATAGAAATAGTTAATAGAATGCCAGACTTTTAAAATCTGAGTATCAACATTCAGCTTTCTAGCCTGACTAAATCACTGCACCTGTATCCATACTATGTATTTTAAACCAATTAAGGGATAGATGATGTGCTGTTAGGAGCAACGCTTTATGGGGATTTTTAAAGCATTTCCTAAAATACATTATTTATTAAAATTCTTAAGTTTAAACCATATTTTGATACTGTATCTGAAGAGTGTGTTTTTCCTCTCAGGCCGACATGCATGGTACTCTGACCTTTGTATTGATTCCCAGCCAGCAGAGCAAGCCACCTCCTGTGAAGGAGACAGTTGTAAGTAGCTCTACATGTGTTCTTGTGCTTGGGGATACATAATTTACTTTACCAGTAATATGCAGAAAGTTCTTCTCTAGGTCATTTATCTTGTGGAACAAAACCAAAATTTGAACATTTAAATTGATTTGTTACCAGACAGACACCTAAATTAACTGTTGAAAATGATTGATATCTTAAGATGAAACTCTTAGTGTGATTTTAACTGAGTTTCTAAAATAGCAAGAAATTGTAAAAGTAGAACTTGGTGTGGTTCTGAATTTATTTTGAATTTACAAATTTCTCTCTTTTATGTATATATATGTGCATGTATGTACTAAAGGAAAATGGATTGATGGAACTTTCAGATATGCTTTGGGAGGAAAAGTTTGTATACTGGAAGCTTTGTTTATTATCTTTTATTGAGATGGTTTTAAGAGTTTGAAGAAAGAGTGGCCAGACATGAGTGATTGGTGACAAAATACTGTACAAGTGAAACTTCACTTAAAGCCCAGCATATGGGTTTCAGTTTGTGTGTTTATTAGGTATTTTAACCAATCAGAATACCTGTGATGATTTTTGAATGCAAAGAACTTAAAAACAGTGGGTCGGGGTGGAGGGGTGGTTGCCTCCTGAAATGGCGAGGAAATTGCATGGGCTTTAGAATTAACAAGAGTTAAATTCAAGCCTTTATGTCCAACCTAGCAGAAGTGTGTCTTTTCCATTGCTAACCTAGGTAATGTTTTCATTCCACTACTCCTGTATGCCCCAGATAAAGTCTGCATTTTATAGAATCTTGGAGGTTTTAATATGTCAGAGCTCCAGTGCAGTCAAGGAAGAGGGGTGTAATTCTTCAGAAGTCACTGAGGTGTTTTTCTTCTGATTTTGCATTTGATCTCTCACAGATACACGTGAAAGCGCATTTTGACTATGATCCCTCTGATGACCCTTATGTCCCCTGCCGAGAGTTAGGCCTATCCTTTCAAAAAGGAGACATTCTCCATGTGATCAGTCAAGAAGATCCAAACTGGTGGCAGGCTTACAGAGATGGAGATGAAGATAATCAGCCATTGGCAGGCCTTATCCCTGGTAAAGTAAAGCTCTGGAAAAAGCTTGACAGTTCTCATAGACATAGGAGCGATATTCAGGTTTTCAAAGACTCATATACCCTTAAATATCCATTGCCTGGAATGTCTGTGACACTGAACCTTTTGCAACAGAGCCCGCTGCTGCTTCTGTAATTCACTTAAAAGTTGACCTTTTAGAGGCATCACTGTGTATCGCTGTTAAACCAGAGTAAGGCTACTGCTGTCACTGCAGGTCACCTTTCAACAGCTACTGTCATCTTCCTTTATTCCTCCACCCTGCAGGGACTCTCTGGATTCAGAGTTCCCTCTGGCTGCAGCAGACACAGGGGACTGTAACCCACTTGCTCTCTGGAGATGGGTGCATCTGTGAGGTGTCTGACTTTGTTCAAATAAACTACTTGATGCAGTATCTTTTCTGTGGTGACTCTTCGGCATGTTTTCACTCAGCGAAGGGCTTCAGTTACTTCTAACAGTCAGGCTTCCTTTCTCATTATTGGAGGCCTTCAAGTAACAGGGTTTTCAGAGCTTTATAAGTTGACTTCAAGTCAATTTATAATTTTTGCAGTGCAATATTATTGTACTCTAGTCCATTTAAGATCTGTTAAACACAACGAACTAAGAGACTTGTCAAATTCTGTAAAATATCCCACTGTTACTTTATGATGTTTGAATAAGTTGAGAGAAACACCGATTTAAATATCGGCTAATCTTTTTACTGAAGTTCAAAATATTTCATATAAATAGAACACATTTGGCATACAAAAATAATTAGAAAACCATAGCATCACAGTGGGAAAATGTAGTCTTTCCAGTAGTTTAAACTTTCCGGGCTACAAATGCTCTGCAAGTCTTTCTTGATGAATATGTTTTTTAAGTTTTGTAGTAATTTTAGTTTCTCTTTTTAAATTTTAATTTCTTTTTTAAAATTTCTTTTGTATATTTTGTTCTACTGGAACCTTCAGAGATGTAAAAGCTTAGGAAAAAGTCAAATGAGTAAGTCATTATGAAAGAGCATGGAAATGGTTTCTAAATGTTAATGGCTCTTGTGCTTTTTTGTTTTTTTTTAATGCATCAAGGAAAAAGTTTTCAGCAACAAAGAGAAGCAATGAAACAAACCATAGAAGAAGATAAGGAGCCTGAAAAATCAGGTTGGATATATACTTTCCAAGGGAAAAAAATCTTTTATGGAGGTGCTAATTAGTGATATATATGAAACCCTTTGACTGTGGAGTTGTAGAAAATTCTTCTGTTTTTTTGTAATACAAGTGGAATGATTCTTTGAAAGTCTTCATGTAATTACAGGTCTGAATTTAGCACTTAGTTGTATAAATCACGTGGCATTTTTCATAACTATGCAATGTAATTAGGATGATAGAGGGAATTTGGAAAGCCCCTTTTTTCTTAAGAATTTTACCTGCCATGACTCAGTTGAAGTTCTTGACATGAACGTTTGCTTTATACACCAGACCACTGTAATCACTGAAGGATATTATGCCTTTTTAAAACTGCAGAATAAATTCTCCAGCTTTAAAGATCCAGATAGTGGATGGAATAGGAAGATTTTTACTGTATGGGTCTTTGATTGTGATGATTTTTATTTTTGGAAATAAAATTTTCAGGAAAACTTTGGTGCGCGAAGAAAAACAAAAAGAAACGGAAAAAGATTTTATACAATGCAAATAAAAATGATGGTGAGTAACATGTTTTCCAGAATATTTGTACTTATAAAAACTATAAAAGATTCCACAAATACCTTGTGAAAAGAATGCTGTAATTCAGGATATGATTTTAGAAATAATAGCTGATGAAGTTCTGTATGAGAGCAGTAGTACCTTTTGTTACAGCGTTTAGTGAAAGACATAAAAGAAGTGACAGGATATGTAAGGTCATTTAGTGTTTTAGCTTTTTAGGCATGGAAGCTCTCATAATTTTACAATGATGAACTAATTTGTTATGGTTTTGCAATGTCATCTCACTCTGCGTAATTAAGTTTAGTAAACGAAAACTTTCTCCACAAAGATTTTATAGGCTATTTATAGTATATTCTTCCAAAAGTACTTTTTGTAATATACTTTTTGGGATGATTTCTGTTGTTGTTGGATATAAAATGTTATTCTTGTACTAGAAACTTGTTAATTGGCAAGAAAGTTGTTTCCTGAATTTATGCTGCTACTTATGTGAGTAATAGGCACATTATCTTTGGGGTTCTGTTGCTTTGGTGACTCAGAAATGCTGGGCAGAGAGTTCGGGAACTGCCTGAAACTTGATACTGCATGACAGGCAACTGTTAGCAAAGTATTTGTGACTATTTTATTGTTCTCTCTCAAGATTATGACAATGAGGAAATTTTGACCTATGAGGAAATGTCACTGTATCACCAACCAGCAAATAGGAAACGTCCCATTGTGCTGATTGGCCCACAGAACTGCGGCCAGAACGAGCTGCGGCAGAGACTTATGAATAACGAAGTGGATCGCTTTGCCTCTGCAGTTCCACGTAAGTTTGGCAGGCAGATAGGATTCTGTGTTCTAAACGTTGTCTGCAGACAAATCCTGTTGTGTTGAAAATAGTAATTAGGAGCTGGGGGGCGTTTGAACAGGTTATACTGGCGTCTTGAAAAAATGGGCAAGGAAAGTGACGTCTTGTATGGTAAAAAATAGCACTGGTAAGTTAATGCAGATCCAGTGTCACAACACAGTGTTAAAAAGGCATTATAAGGCATGCATTTATTCCTGTTTACATAAAATTGGAGTGAGTTACAGAAGTTTATAAAAGAAAATGGTATATGGGGCAAAGAACCAAATGTTCTGCAAAATTTAAATTTAGATGGCTTTAATGCCTTTCCAAACTACTTATATTTCAGTGATTATTATATTTTTAATGTCTTATGTACCCTAGATTATGTTTACAAACAGTTTAGCAGTATATATTGTTATAAACAACTAATGGCTGTTCACAGCTGCACAGTTAAAACTATTCCTTTCTGTAGTTTACTAATTTTTTTCCTTCTGGATAATGTAAATGGAACCTTTGAATTAAGTTTAACTTAATCTGACCATAGCCATTTATTGTATAAAACAAAATACATGGATTTCTTGGATATTTCATATATTGGTGGGGTTTTTTTTCACTTGATTAGCAACATGTCTCCTAAGAGAAATGCTGATTGCTTTTCTTCAGTTCTACAGATGTATCACTCTCTCAAGGTCTTTTTTTGTCGCTCTTGCTTGTAGATACTACTCGGAGTAGGCGAGAGACTGAAGTAGCTGGCAGGGATTACCATTTTGTTTCCAGACAGGCATTTGAGAGTGACATAGCTGCAGGGAAGTTCATTGAATATGGAGAGTTTGAAAAGAACCTCTATGGTACCAGCATAGACTCTGTGCGGCAAGTAATCAACTCAGGCAAGATCTGCCTTTTAAATCTTCATACCCAGGTATGGCAAAAATGTTTCCTGTCATGTTTTAATTGTAGAAGCTGCTGTGAGAACCTACAGAGCTCTATTTGTTTTATATAAAACGAGTGTGTTTTCAAGGTCCATATTCATATTTATTCCAAGTTTTCTTGCAGTGATGTTCAGTTGACTCTACAGTGTGTTATACAGCCTTCTTGTTATACAGCTTTAAATATCTGGAAACCATCTGAATTTAAAAAATGAATTAAAATAAGATTTGTATCTCTCAGTCTTCCAATTATTCTGGGAGCTCTGAGGGTTTTGAAGAGGAGTGGAAATTGTTTGCGATTTTACTTGGAAGGTTTTTTTGGGACTGTTAATGCAGTTTCCAAATCCAGTTCAGGATTCAAGTATATCACATCATTAATATTGAAAAGCTGTTTAGCTGTGACCTTTTGGTTATGGAGAGGGAATGCCTATAGACCTCAACTTGGAAATTTAGTCAAACATGGCAAGAGGCAGAGTCCTGGAACACAACCTGCTTTCTGATACACATGGTATGTGTGAGGTCTGCTGTTGTAGATCTGCAAAAGAAGCCCTAAAACTCAGACATATCAGTAAAGTCTGGTAGTATTGAAGCTATAATTAGTCAACAATTAGTCATCACCAGTTGGGACCATGTGATACTTTACTAGAATACCTTGTGGATACCTACATTGGTATTGCAAAGCATGTCATAAGGTGAAAATTCACAACTCTTTAAAAATTTGTTAAATTCTGTGGCTAAAATAATCTATTTCAGAGACAAGGTGTTTGTCCTGAGACACAGAGAGTGAACCTTTTGGAAAAACCAAATGACTGTTTTTCTTTACTTCTTGTCTCTCAATATAAATGTAATCTGACAAAACAAAATGCTATGCATACAGTAGTAATCCATCTGATACTTGTATTTTAATCTTCAAACAGAAAAGGTTAAACCATAGTTTTTCAAGTAAACTAGTATTTAAAGACTCTTCTCTCTGTTCAAAGCTGATACCATTCCGTAGCATTCTAAGGACACTTACCTCAATGCAGGTGACTTTTTCTTTGCTTTTGGATACCAGAAGATCTGTTCCTTCAGTTTAGTAAAGAAGAATATTCTTGAACAAAAGTAAATTTCAGTTCTATGGAGCTGAAAAATGTTGGAATATTAATTTTGTAGGAAAAGGTGGCTTGACTGTGCTTGGTGATGATAATGATGTTAGTTGATTATATTGCTGTTAATGTATTGTACAGTTGTGTTTGAAGAGTATATTATCAATTATAGCATGTGAATAATGCATCATTACATGCCCTTTTCATGGGTGGAACAGTTAAATATTTAATAAATCCTATTCCTGCAGTCACTGAAGACACTACGTAACTCTGACTTGAAACCATATATTATATTTGTTGCACCACCTTCACAAGAGAGACTACGAGCTTTGTTGGCCAAAGAAGGGAAAAACCCAAAGGTAAGGTGTCCTACACTTTTTCTGAAACCACGTTGGCTTTGGTAAATGAGTGCACTTTCTTTGGAATTGGGACCTGGTAATGGTACTGACAGTTAGCACTGCAGTGAAGCAGTGTGGCTGGGATCTGTGAGCTCCAGGTTAGTAGGCAGACCATACTAAGGCAAGGATTCAGGATGCTTTTGTCTAATGTGATGCAAGGGGTATTAGGCACGAGAATGCACTGCTAAATCAGTAATCCTGGGACACAATGTCTCTGCATTGGGATCCCTGCATTCAGGTACAAAAATAAGAACTTTTATTTCAAAACTGTGGAAACCCCAGTTTTGTCCTCAAGTAAACCTGGGAATCAGGTGGAATCCTGCGGAGCAAAGATTACTGTTTTTTCTTTTCAGAATTCAGCTGCTCTTGGGAAAGCATCTGCTTGAAAATCTGAAATATTATTCAGATAAAATTATTTTAAAGCTTGACCCTGTAGGGATCACTTGTCATGTTCAGGCAGAGTCATATCCAAGATTTGAGCTTACCCAGTTCAGATCCAGTTTAGTTACTGAGAAGGTAGTTCTGCAGAATGGACTCAAAAGCCATAGATTAAACCAGGACATACATCTGAAAGCTCTGAAAAGTTCTTTACCAGCTTATGAGATAAAAAGTGCTTATTGCTAGGACAATGGAGTAGGTTCCTCATCAGCTTTTTAACTGAGATCTACCCTGCAGTGCTTGGTGTGAGAGAAAGGCTGAAGTAAAGCAAAACATTTCTACTTCTCCCTTTGTATAATTTATCTACATCTGCAATATTCTTGCTTTTGACATAGTCCCTTCCAGCTCCCAAATGGTGTTTTTCATTCTTCTGCGATGTTATTCACCGGATGCTATGGAGATTTGGTCACCTTAAACATACAACTCTCACTGTGGTTCTCATTGCTGTTTGTTGAGCAGTTTTCACCACTTACAGCTGTCACCTTTGGCTGTTTGGTGTTTGTAGTGCTGCACCTTCAGAGGTTGTTGTCTTGTTCTACACCATTCAGCCTTTCTCTCACACTATCTCTGCCATCTCCAGTCTTTTTCAGAAAGGATAATGAGCTTAGCAACCTCACTTATTTTTCAGAAACATGATTTACGAACCTCAGTAAGATCAGTGTTGTGCAGTGAGCAGTGCTGGATCTTCCTTTGTTTTCCTCAGCCTGGGGCAGTTATTTACAGTTTGCCAGTTACAGCCAATTGGACAGGGTTGTCTTGAATGTCCTTGGTTCTTGAATGTCCTTGTCTTGAATGTATCATGGTTCAGTGTTACTGTAAACTTTTCCACAGCCAGTAGCAACACCATGAGAATTTGTGTAAGAAAAGTCTAGTTGTTACCTTTCCTCACTCTGTTACTGTGAGAGGCTTGCACACCTACACTAACTCTCTGGTTTTGATTGCAGCCAGAAGAGCTGAGAGAAATCATAGAGAAGACGAGGGAGATGGAACAGAACAACGGGCACTACTTTGATACAGCCATTGTGAATTCTGACCTTGATAAGGCCTATCAAGAATTACTTCGGTTAATAAACAAGCTTGACACAGAACCCCAGTGGGTGCCCTCTACCTGGCTACGATGAGAGCAGTTCCAAGGGACAAGCGGACTTTAATCTAGTTATCTTTCCAAGGAGATTGTGTGTAGGCCTGCCCAATCCTAGTATAAATGCATGTGAGCTGTGAGCTCTAGACCTCAGTGGCTGCATCCTTTGCCAGTGAAATTGCGTATTAATGAAAAATACGCTACTCAGCTTGTGAGCCAATTTAACTGATCTAAAGATTGTCCAAGTTTTCTTTCTCTGTGGTCTAGAAATGGAGACTGTGTCAATACTAAATTCTAAGGCTTTAGATAGATTTTTCTAGCAGCTACTTTTATACATAAATCCACCTTTTTTAACCTAGGATCACCCTTACAACAAAGATTTTGTGTGTGTGTGTGTGTATATATATAGTCCATGCTGTCACATAGTTATAAATATGAATGTTATTTAACACTTAATGACTTCGTGGGACATGATGCTAGTTCAAGAGCATTCTACAGATCACTGGGCAGAGATATAATCTACATGTGAAAAATGTTACTATTAATGAGAAACCTCTCCTATTCAAAAAATACACAGAATGAAGATGCTGCTCTGATCTGGAGCTGCCCTGTGAGTTAATATTTTAATTCTCAAACATTCCACTTTCTAATAGCACTGTAATTGGAAAATGTGTATAATGTAAATATTTCAATCCTTGCGTCTTTTTAGTCAGACTTTTAAAATCAGATTTGACTGCACGGTAATTTTAGGTCCAAAGATGACTGTTATATTGATCTTTTAGATGTGATATTTTTATGGTATTTTCTTTAAAACACTGATTGACTGATTGGAGCCGCTGTTTTCCACAGATCTGTAGAGATATTTAGAAAGGCAGAGGTTATATTTTTGTGAAAATGTATAGTTATAAGACATGCTGCTTGAAAGTCAACTGAAATTCTCATGTTTTATAACAGAATACTGACTAAAATAGACTGATGTGCTGAACATTGTAAGACAGTGGGGTTTTTCAATCTCTGCAAATGGTTCATGTTGTGGCTGTTGGACTAATGGACAACTAACTGGAATTAAAATAGCTGAATGTAGCTACTATTTTATGAGTATTGTAATTCACTAGCCAACATATTGTCCTGCATTTGCTCAGTACTGCAGTGAAAATATGTGTAAAACACTGGTAACTGACTGAGAAGTCACAAGAAAGGGGAATATTTTTAATGGTTCAAACAAAAAAAAAAAAAACTTGAAACAAGGGAACAAAAGGCAAGATCTGTCTGTATCCTGGTGCATTCTGCAAAGCAGATTTGAACATCTCTGCATCCTCAAAGTATTCTGGCTGTGAAGGTTTAACTACTAAGGCTGCAGTAGGGCTGTTGTTGCTGACCCTAACTGAATAGTAGTATCCTGGCTGTTTTGGTTTTGGGTAGCACAAAGAACCTTAACTGTGAATATCTCTTCATTTTAGCCATAGTGTTTCCTTGTTCCTACAGGTAAAACACTGGAGTTATGTCAGTGTGTAGTTCACTCCTGTCTAATGTTGAAGGATGTAAAAGTAGTTAATGTTTTACATTCTGTCTTGCATATATTCTTTCTTCAAATGTTAATGGAACAAATTCACACCCATAGTTAGAGAGCTCAAAGTATAGAGCAGATATAAAGGAATTGTCAGATAACTATCCTAGGTACTGAACTAATAGTCAGTACATTTTTGTATTGAAAAATGGAAGTATAGAGTGCATTCCTGTCTTGTTAGAAAGCAAATTGATTTGATAGTTTAATTACTACTTAGGGCTGGAAGGCAATTAAGCAATTAGTGGAGATTAGTAATGGCCCTTCAGAAAGAAAAGGGGGTGCAAACTTGAATATCTTTAGTTCAAGTTAGTGTTAGAAATAATAATGGATATTCAAAATAATGGCTTTTTGCCTCACATTGCAGGCATGTTCTCAGTTTCATCCAATAGTTTATGAGAACTACAATGTTCAGGTATATTGGATACACTTTATTGATTCTACCCTTTAAGAAAGATGATCGCCACGTGTATTAGGCTTCTGGTATTGACTGTTTCACAGGTGGACAAGAAGCTGGGAAGCAGTAAAATGTGTGTTGAGTAAGGGTAATCTAGCTCAGTTACATAGGTGCTGTCCAAATTCTTGCAGTCACAATCAGCTCAAAGTGGTTGCTGAAGCCCCATAGGTATTCAGTGTTCATAGGCAGCATCAGTCCCAGTAAATCACGCCATTAATGTTATTTCACCAATGTTTGTCTCCCCAGTTTTTCTGAAATGTTGTACAGAATGTTTTTTTACAAATGAGCTTTTGAATGTAGACTTAAAGCATATTGCTTGAAGTTCAGCTTTACTCTCTTAATTCCCAAGGCACACACTACTTGCTGACATCCACGTAGAGAGGTGCTATGATAGTTTATAACCAGTGTTAGCTGTGTCTCCTGCTGAAGGGAAGGGTTTGAGCAGCACTGAAACATGTACCTGGCTGTCAGTCTGCTGTCAGCTTGGACCTGGAACTACCTTGTGTAAGAAATCATTGTCTTTAATGAAGAATGTGTGCTAGTTCCCTCGAGAGTAAAAGAAAATATGCAGACTTCACTGGTGAAACTCTTCAACTTTCTCACAGGTGATGTGTATCAGACTGAAATGAGGGTATCTGCATTTTTACCGATCCAGATTTAATTAAAAATAAATGTTAGCTGAATTGCATAAAAGAATTTTTGAATGTAATTAAATGTGACTTTTCAAAATATTAGATGGGGGGTTTCATGCCTTAAATAATTAAGGTAACTTTACTGAGACCTGTGGTTAGCCCCACATTGTACTTTTATACATGTATCTGCACTCTGTATTTTGAGACATCATGAACTGCACACTAATGTAAAAATGTAAAATATTTCTAGATTTAAAATAAATCACTGTACAATTTTACTTCTTGTACTGGATCTTCGGAGTCTTCTTTCTGCCACTGTGCCAAATGTGTGAAGCATGCTCTGACCCATCAGTGCCCTGAGGATGTCCTGTGCTCCTTCTGACACCTTCCATCCCATGGGAGAGGTAACAACATGTCCACAGAGATACAGTGTCTTTCTTTCAAACTAATCTGTATCTTACAACAGAGTATGGAGTTACTATTCAGCTGTGCTGTGTTCAGCTTCAAAAGAGAAGTGGCCTTGTGCCTCATACAGTTCTACAATGACTTTTTAAAGGTGTTGGTAGAAATTCATTTCCTTGCACGTACGCTGCATCTGCAGTTAAGTGCTGGATCATGTTTAAAACAAGATGCTTACCCTGAACAGACTGGTAGTATTAGAGACAATATACTAATGTTAGTTCTGGGGTGTGTGCTCAGTTTGCTGACTGCAAACCAGTGTCTTCAAGAACAAAGAACACAACCAGTTGTGTTCAAGAAATAACTGGATGTGGCCCTTAGTGCTGTGGACTAGCTGGCAAGGTGCTGATCAGTCAAATGTTGGACTCAGGCATCTCAGAGGTCTTTTTCAACCTAAATGATTCTGTGATTCTGTCTTTAGGAAAACAGCCCTTCAAATGGAGCAGAAGTTTTATTTTGAAATCAACACGAGCTTTTAAGACCACCATCTTCTAGCAACTTGAGCCAGACACCAGGTATTTTAACATCAAAAATTTACCCTTGTTTCTAGCGCAGACAGTACACTAGTTGGCAGAACCTCTAATTAAAAATGTAGATGTTTTAGGCCAATGGTAGCAATCGTGCAACAAAAACATATCACAGAAGACTGTGGATTTCATCAAAAGGTTAGAAAACTAGAGTTTCGTTTACTGGCATTTGACTTCAGCTGTGCCAATACTGGCTTTAAGCAACCTGAACATTAAAAGTTCAGCAGTAAAGAACATTACATGCATCTCCCTCCCTAAGCAACATTTTCCTCCTCTTGTACAAGGAAGGGGAGCAATTTAAGAGGAATCTGATTAGGCCAATCCAGAGCCATCCTGCAAAAAGTAAAGCTATCAACAGTCACTCTTAGTAAGTGAAGAAAGATGCTGACCATGCAATAAAAAGCTTTCCTGATTGATAGTAAAGCATCTGACACATTTCTCCTTTTCCTCCTATGCTATAGTCAAGTTCCCAGATTTCTAATCTCCCAGGAGAAATCCACAATCCATTCAACTCAAGACTTGGACACCAAATGAGAAGCCACATAAGTATCTTGTAGGCAACATGTCTTGAATCATATTGTAATTGGACATTCTGTATTCTGGACCCCCTGCTCCATACACAGCAACTGTGCAGGGTTACTCAAAGAGAAGGTCTTCATCCTTCTCTTCTGCTAAGAGATTGGCTGGTTCAATTTCCCCACCAGCAGCCCTCCGCAGCTCCCGTTCTTGATCAGATTTTTCTTTCAATACTTTTTTCTTTTCCTGGATCTTCTTTAGCCTGTGAAGAGAAATGCGGCTTATCCGTGGAACAAATACGTTTTCATAAAACAGGCTAGCAATAAAGGTGCCATACAACCTGGATACGATAAAGCTGCCTGGAAAAGGTCCCTGGGAAATAAAAATTCTGTAACAAATGGCAAATTTGGCAAAATGGCAAAAACAAAAAAGGCTTTTATTGCTAGCTGCTGTAATTGAAAAACTTCATCCAAATTGTAAATTATATCCTTGACCCTAAACACTGCTCTGTTTGTCTTTAATGAAATTAATTCCTCTTTTGTTCATTTCAGGTTTGACATTTTTTACTTCACGTAGCCCAGAACGACCTCTCTAGCAGAGATGTCCTTAAGGCAGAACACCTCAGTGTACTGTATCACATCACTCCCTCTGGAAGAATGATGACAGCTATGTGGTAGGGATACATTTACAAGTTTCAGACAAATAACTGCAGATGCCCAAGTGCCCAGCTCTGGAAACTCAACATGCAGTAAGAATGAGGTCGTATTTAACAATGTTTGTTGCCAGATGTGGTGAACAGGTCTCCCAAGTCCCTTCTGAGAAATGCTCTATTTCAGAAAGAGACCAGTCTAGCCTAGATATTTACCTGTAGAACTCCTCTCGTTCTCGTTCGTCCAGTTCTGTGATGATATAAGAAAGAGTACGCTCGATCCTGGGAATAATCACTAAAAACATGAACAAAGGAGTTTTTGGACTGCTGTTATATTAGCCAGGAAGTTATATAATGGAGTTCACAGATGTTTGAAGTCAATCTACTAGTTATTTTGGCTAGGGGAAATTTATGTCTTTCATGGAAGATCATACTATTTTCTGATGGACGAGTACACAGAATTGTTTTCTTTAGTAAGTCCAGGACTAAGCTAAGACTCTGAAGGTCACAAAATCTCCCACAGCATCTTCTTTTAAAGATGCAGTGAAATCAGCAAGCACTGATCCCTCATTGTTGATAAAGTTCCTTTTTCTCGTGGAAGTGGTTAAAAAAAAAAACTGCAAGAGGTGGGCAAAATTTGAACGTTCTTCCATCACATTCTTTCAGAAATTTCTGTTCAGTATAGCACTTTTACTCACAGAATTATCTCAGTTTAAAAGAGCCATCATGAAACAAATATTCAAATATAACACTATCACAAAGGAAGAGATAAGACACTAAACACAGCTTTAACACCCAACTGGACAAGCTATGTGTCAGAATCACTTTTTGAAAGGAGAAAGCTGTTATCAGCACTACCAGTGTTATTTGGAAGGCTGCAGAGGAAACCTTTTCTAAGTAAAATTCTCTAGAGTGGTGATAAGCTGCAGTTAAGGCCTGCATGTTCAAAGGAACCAGTCTATGGAAAACAGTACTGAAATGGATGGTTTAGAAACACAGACTGAAATAAGTTATTGCATACATGCAAAGATGATTAAATCTAAGCTATCAAAACTTAGAAAGGAACTTGAAATAATCAAGTTCTGCAGCAAAAGGAATCACAGCAATATTCTGGTTGGAGTAGTACTTAAGAAATGGCAAGAATCAAATTTACAAACAAGAACAAGAAGGATAAAGAATTCACATCAAAGAAAAATACCTGGGTATTGACATAAGGACTGTTCCATCCAAAATCAACAAAAAGTCAACAGCTCCTCACTGGGCACCACTATTACAATTTTAAAGTTTATTAGAGTGATTTAAAGTTAAATCTATTTTGAAGTTATTTAAAGTTTATAATGCTATCTATTGGAATACCTTAACACTTAGAAACATACCTTTTGCTTCTAGTCAACAGACCTGACCAATTAAACCAAAGTCACTAGCAGAGACTCCAGAATGTGTTTGTGAACCTTTCGTCCTATAGGTTCTCAATACGATTTCCTGTTTACTTTATGTTTGCATATTTATTTCTCTCTGTGTACTCCATTCCACTGGGCTTTTAATTTCTTTTCTTTCTTGCAATATGTTTCATTGTAATGCTTTCTAGAAAGAGTTCTTGAACTGCTTAGAAATTTTACTAACAAGCAAGAGGTCAAATGAGTGGCTTCCATGACCCTGCTCCTTATTTTGCATGGAGACAGAAAAATGTTATGCATTCCAAGTAGAAAATACTCACCATGTTCAATTGCATTCACACGTCTGTTTGTTATTTTAATGGCTTCATCCAAAGTAATAAAGGAAGTCTGATGGAATGGGATTAAATAATTAATACGTAACAAGATAAATTCAGCATTTTGATCAATTCTATACAGAAAACTGAAAGCCAAGTCTATCATGTAGCTTAACAGACTATTTCCTTGAGAGAAGCAGAATTTTTTTTCTACTAATGTCACTAGCACACTGCACACTGCACATCAGCAGTTACCCACTCTCCAAAGAAAGTTTCTTCCTAGTATTAAGGAATAAGGAACTTCTTCGAAGTGGTAATATAACTGATATAACATGGTTGAAAAAGGTTTGCAACTTTGTACAGCACTGAGACTAGATTATGCTACAATTACTGAAACGTGTTACTTTCAAAAAAGTGAGAAATCAGTTATGCCCTTCTGTTTTTCTTCCCACCAACCTGTAAGGAGGCCAGTTCCACAAGCAGCTCCACAGCTTTGGCATAGTTCCTCTTCAGCTTAGCCAACTGTTCTCCACCTCTGGCCAAGCCAGTCAGCTCATAGCCTGAAAAAAAATAACTTTTGTTACTATTGTTACTATAGTGTTTTTTACTAGATAAAAATTAATAATTTATAGCGATACGAAGAGCTCAGCAAGTGAGAAGCTAAAGCCTTTGCCTATTAACAAATTATCTTTATAGTGGTTTATATTACTACAGATCACTGTTGTGCATGTCCACAGTAAGACTCAGCGGTCTCAAAATCCAGTACCTCAAGAAAAGTCTTCTCCTCATCTGAAAAACTCGCTGATTTAGAAAAGTAAAATCCACTATAGCCCTTCATAATCCTTCCATGTCACAGGAACAGGGCAAAGCATCAAAGGAAGGAAGTACAGCCACGCCTATGATGTAAACTGACTTACCACCATCAAGACATGACAAGTATTTTTGTATTAGCATGGAATTGCTGTAAGTACATGCAAGACACAAAAACCATTTGGTTTGTACTTACTGTCCCCTCCTTCCTGGTAATGCTCAAAAACTGGCAAGGTTACACCTGACAGGAGTGAACAAAAATGTAAGAGACATAAATGGCTATAGATTTGTTAAGAACAAATCACTTTTACCCCCATTTGCTTCCAATTATGTAAGATTATTTTTCAAAATCTTCCTATATAGCTTGGAATGATTAAGTCATGCTGGTGCTCACATATAACATGGAACTTCTGAACTGTGTTGAGATCACAGAGATCTAGACCCTGAAAAATTCAGGGAAGTATTCCAGTGTGTTCACTTTTATTATGTTTGGTTTATATTTATGTTCATTTTTATGATGTTTGGTAATGTATTCCCTTTGCTTAAGGAATATTTTATGCATTCAATAATCTTTTTTGTTTTCTTCATAGACAAGTATTGATATTT